GTTTTGAAGTTGTTATACGTTCGTATAAGTTTCATTATTTAAATTAGAGGCGTTTTGTAGAAATTTAAATATTTAGGAAGAACGAAACATGGTGTTAACCTTATTTTATATTTTGTAATATTTTTGTCCCTCTGGATCTTAAGAGGCTATTTGCTCGAAAGCAACATGTGAAATACCTGATCGACCTCGTTTCCAAAAATCTCGACATCGACGGAGGACAGACAGATAAAATGAAAAGTGTTTTGCATGCAGGAAATGAATTATTTGACATAATTGGTGATGTTCTGCAGTTAACGCAGTAACCTTTCGCCAAAAGCAGCTCGACATTGTGAAACGACGTCTGTCGAATTGCATAAAGATTTCATGACAACGTGCGTAGAACCTTTCTCCAGATCGGCACCCGGCAATAAAGTCAAGGAAAAGATGAGGGAAAGGAGACAACCAAACGGCTCATAAGAAAGAATCTTACCAAGGGACAAGTGGCTGCGATGACACTAATCGTAGCCACTTCTGAATATTGGTATCGCGTGCTGCTTAAAAACAGATGAGTCGTTATTTAAATGCGACTATAAGGGGCTACAACAAAATAATTTTAACCGCTTAGCCTAATTTTCCTTAATTATAGAAAAAACACATAGTTGAGATGGACTCACAAGTCAGTCTTATTGTTAGACATTAAGATAATCATGAGTCGTCGACCTTTTTTTCGCGTTCTTTCTTTGACTTTTGAAAAATCATACTCATCGTACTGCCACTTATTCATATATCACGAAATTGTTCTCCCATGATTAGCAATTTTCCCCCTCATGGCCTGGAAATAGATGAATATGCGGAAATTGCCTTCGGGTTCTACTTTGGCCGAAGAAGTTAAGAATCTTAAAATACGCACACTCGTCTCGAAATATTTACATGCGAGTAAAACCTGCAAAACGAACGAGACTAGACGAACCATAAAAAATGACAAATTTCAGGTTTCCATGAAGTTATGTTTAATAAAACGTTCATATCGTCGTTTTACTATTCTACTATATTTCATGACTGGCAGTCTAATTAAATTCCAAATCCCTTCTTTAAACGAAGATTATTAAAAATGCTCTTTTAGTAGATTAACTATTAGGTTTTTATCATAATGTATGTCACTTTTTTAATCTGCTTCCTTGTTTTCTAGCATGGTATGTATGTTCCTTTTTTATTATGCTGTGTGTCCGTGTCATTCTGTTTGTTTTGTTTTCATACTAATGGCTACTTTTCATTTCGTTTGCTTTTATTTTAAGATATTATTCATTTCTTTCTCGTCCTGATTGATTTTTGGCATACTGTTTATTGTGTTTTACTCGAGCTTGCTTCTTTTTCTCACACTGTATTAATGTATGTTTATTTTTTATTCTGATCGCTTGTTTTTTTGTTTTACGTCCCTCTTTCACAATCATCTCTTTTTGCCACTCAATTTACCTCTTTTTTTAGCCACCTGTCGAAACTATTTTTCACTAGGTTTTCTCCTTATACTGTCAACATTTCTTCCATTCGTATTTTTGTTGTAATTTTTTTCCTCTTCACTCTGCTTAGTTTTAGTCAACTGTCTTCCTATTTTGTATTAGGCTTGTTTTTTCGTAATTTCTGCTTCTCTGTCACTGTTCTTGTAGTTTTGATACACTTTTTGTTTCTATTGCACTCTGCTTCTTTTTAGCAAACTGTTTTCCTATTTTTTATTAAACTTGTTTTTTTTTACATAATATTTTTTTGTCACATTTTATTTCCCTATTTCATTCTGCTGCTTTTTACCATCTTTTTAACTTTCACAAGGCTTGTTTTTCTCTTCCTATCTGTTTCTCTTTCGCCATGCTAGATTTAGTACCTTTTCACTATTTTTTTTTTATTATTATACACTTTATTTATCTAATTCATTCTCTCACTTCGTTTTAGCCAACTGTCTTCGTATTTTTAACAAGGCTTGTTTTTTTGTGTGTTATGCTGTCACTCTGCTTGTATTGTTAATACACATTTGTTTCTATTTCAATCTATTTCTTTCTAGCCTATTTTTCACTAGGAGAGTCCCTTTCATAATACTGTTTCTTTTGGACGTACAATCTGTATTTTTTCACAGTGCTTTTTATTGTACGGTATGTTTCGCTTTCACCCCGTTTTTTTTTGTTGTTAAAGTTTATGTCTCTCTTTCATTCAGATTTTTAAATGCTGTCAACGTTTTACCTGTATTCTCTTTAGTTACACTTTTGAAAAAATCTATTTCTCTTTGTTTCATTTTAGCCTGTATTATTTTTAATGCTGAATTGGGTCACTTATTGTGTCCGTCTTCACTCGCGCTCTTTCTATTTTTCACTGTTTCTTTGTGTCATACTGCCTCTTTCTCTATCACTGTGCTTGCATTGTTAATACACTTTTTGTTTTATTTCACTCTACTTCTTTATAGCTTTTTTTATTTATTTTTTATTTTTTACTACGTTTGTTTCTTTTTGTAATACTGTCAGTTTCTCTTCCACTCTGTTTGTATTTTCGTTACGATGTGTGTCTTTATTACAGTCTGTATATTTTCTCAACAGTCTATCTTTTCACTTTCACTTCTCTTCACTAGACTTGTTTCTTTTTGTCATACTGTCTGTTTCTCCGTTTCTTTTTCAAACTGCTTCTTTTCCGCTAACCGTCTTTGCGTTCTGTATTTTTTCACTATTTGAAGGCTGTGTCATACTGCCGTACAATGTTCTCTTGGTTGTCATCAGGGGTGTGGTAAAAGAAAGATATTTTTAATTATCTTAAACGACAGACCATTTGTACCTTACACATAAGCATATCTGTTTACATTATCAAGATTACCAAAATAGATAGTGCAAATTTCAATCAGACATGTAAAAGGCTAGTTCAGGAAAATAGACACAAAAGAACGATACAAAAGCACAAGCAGAATGAATGACAGACTTACAGCAAGGCATAAAAGTTAGCATAGTGAAAAGATACATGTACCAAGTATGACAAAAATAGCAAGTGAGATGAAATAGAGTATAACAAAACAGCTAGCATAGCGAAAAGTATACAGACAGAACTACGAAAAAGCAAGATATGCAGTATGATAAAAAAATAATAAATAATACAGACAAGTTCATCAATAAAGTACAAGCTAAGTGTAAGAGAGATTTTACAAAAAGACAAAAAAACAAGTCTTGTTAAAGATGGGAGAAAGAATAAGAGTGAAATACAAGCAAAAAATTATTTTATTTCACTTTTATTCTTCTTCGCCTCTGAAGAGTCTAGTCATTTCGTAATTGAAAAGGTGTAAAAGAAAGTTAAAAGGTATTCAGTGTTAACATAAAAATAAAAGAAATTAAGTTTATATACTTCTGACCAAAAATCAGTATGTACAAAAATGTGTGTCTTGTTCTTATATAGATATTTGATATTAAATTGGCCAAAATTAAAATGTATAATATATCCTTTTGTAGAGCCCTGAAGAAGGTATAATAAAGTTCCGAAAGCTGGGCGAAGATTTAAAATTAAAAATATCTTTCTTCGACCACATCGCTATGACAAACAAGGGAACATTATCTACATAAGTTGGTCGATCTACAAAACTGCCGTATTTTCACTGTTCTTTTTTAATATTCATATCTGTAAATAGGCTTGTTTATTTTTTGTCATTTTTCCTATCTCTCTCTATTTCTCTCTCTCCTCTTTCTTTTGTGACATTTTATGTTTATGTTTTACTCTTCCTGTTTTTAGCCTTCCTATCCACAACAAGTCTTGTGTTTTTGTGTGTTATACTGCTCTTTCACTCTCTCTAATTCACTTTCTTTCTCTCCTCTCTCTCTCTCTTCTTGTGACATTTTATGTCTATATTTCACTCTTATTTTCCTATCTTTAACAAGACTTGTTTTTTTGTCATATTGTCAATCTCTCTTACACTTAGCTTGTATTTTATTCATGCACTTATTTGTATTGTTTCATTATGTTTTTTTTTAATCATACTGTATATCTCTCTTTTACTATACTTGCTTTTTCGTCTGTCTGTATCCTTTTGTCTGTATAATGCTAGCTGTTTTGTTATACACACTGCCCCTTTTTCATCTCACTTGCTATTTTTGTCAAACTAGGTACATGTATCTTTTCACTACGCTAGCTTTTATGCCATATTGTAAGTCTGCCATTCATTCTGTTTTCCTGAACTAGCCTTTTTCGTGTAGGAATAATTTTCCGATTGAAATTTGCGCTACCTATTTTGCTAATCTTGATAATGCAAATAGATAGATGCTTATGCAGAAGGTACAGTTGTACCTGTCTGTCGCTTCTTGTGTTCGTCTGGCTCTTAGGGATAGGGATAAAAGAGGTGGCCACAAGGCCTTCTGCACCTCCACTGGAATAAATCATTCTGCTCACCTGTTTTTTATAACACACTGGACAGCTTCAGGCTTCATAGCTTTGCCAGCGGCTTCTTAGTGTAGGATCTTGCTTGTGGTTTTTCTTATCCTAGTTGCAAGAACCTGCACCTACATAGACCTTCATAAAAAGATAAAATGTGTTCTGCGGTCTCCTCCTCTTCCTGGCAGTATCTGCACAGTGTTTCTTCTGACTGTACTCCTATCCGGTGCATGTGCAGGTGCCAGTGCCCTGCCAGGAGTCCAACCAGATTCCTGGTTCAGTTTCTTTTCTTTTACTTTTGTCGTAATTCATTTGTAAGTTTTGCGGATGGTCCTTCTATGAATCTCTTCGCGTGCCTCATACCCGTGGTATTGTTCCACCAGTTGTTGTCTGGCTCTTAAATTGAGGCCTTTTTTAATCGGATTTCCGTAAACGGGAGTCCGGTAGCACATCGGAAACTCACGTAGGGCATAAAATATAACAGCTAAAGAATCGTAGCGGTCGTAAATACGATCCAGCCCCCTCCAGGAATTATTTATTGACAATGAGTTCTTGTTGGATAGAGGAAGTGGGTTTTGCGAAGGTGGGGAGGGTGGTTTAGGATAGAGGGGTCCACCGCCTCACGGTTCAGTTGTATTCAATTCGCCGACCTCAACGCTTCAGGTAATTAAACCGAAATGCAAATTTCAAAATCAAAAATCGAATTAGCCTATTCAGAAGGGAAGCACATCGGAAGAAAATCGTCTTGTAACAATTCAAGCACTATTACTCAGGGGGGGGGAACGCGAAACAATATATTTGGGTAGTTTTTAAATTTACCTTTAAAATGTTAACATTTGATGGTCAAAAATTTTGAAATTTCAGCTAGAGAATATTTGAAAGATTTAAACGAATGCCTTTTCTTTCTTAAAATTGCTCAAGAATCGCTGGATTAATTTGTTTTGAAAGAGATTCTCATAGTTCGTTGTCTAACCAATGGGTGAAACAGTTTTGACAAAATGTTCGCCTCCTGGGCATTTTTGGTCCGCCTACTCTCGCTTTGTCCCAAGACACTTTTCCTCCTGACGACAAGCTTAGCTTAAGAGGTAAAATATAGGCCGACCCTAAAAGGCGGCAATAACGGACACCCAGTCATGAGCTTAATCTTTTCTCTGAACTATTCGATATGTATCCAAAAAAGAACGAAATGAAGCGGTTTCGACCTATTTGGAATATGCAAAATCGAGCACACAGAGCCTTGGAGAATTTCCCGTCTTGGGATCATTGTTCTCGTTACAATAAATAAACCAGCCGGGGTGAAGGTTTGAACGAGATACATTTCAATTAAATCAGATAACGCCGTCATTATAAATGGCAAGGGCTCAAGGGCGCCCATCACACTGACGAGGTGTTATTAATCACTTTTGCCACTGATGATCCCGCCCAACACTTTCATCCTTTAATCCTCGAAGTCTGATCGAATTATCTTGTTAAAAATTACTTTTTATTTTTACTTGGAGAAATTTATAACCTTGTTTATTTTTATTTTTTACAGACTCTGACATGATTAACTCGAGAGTGGTATTGGTAAGATTTCCATTTAATTATCTATGAACATATAAAACATTTGTGTGTATGTACCAGCCATTAATATAATTCATTTTTTGATGGTGTCCATTCTGATTTTGTGGAACTTCGTAATAACATGATGAGTAGGAAATAAATTGTCTTTTTGAAAATAGGCATTTATTAAATCAGAAGTGTTTCGGTCTAGTATAGACCATCTTCAGTAACTTTTTTATACAACTGTTTTTTAAATTCTTATACTATATCAAATTCTCATTATTATTATTTTTAAAATAAAATTTGCATGACTACTATTCTTGATGTGACATTTTACTATTGTTTATTAAGTTTTTAAAATATTAACAAAATATGTTATTAATATAAAGGCATTGGAAATCTTATTTCAAACATAATCTCCATTCATTAAAATGTAAAAGCTAAAAAGCGACGAAGTCTATCAATTAACCATTGCCTGATGAATCTGATGATCATTTTGGCAATTAAATCAGATAAAGATGAACTTCGACAGTTTAAAAAAACCGATGGTTATTGAATAGTGACTCATCAGATGAACCATTGTTAAATAAATTCACTAATTTCGTGGTCCGCTTGACCAATTAATACATTACAATTAATTAAGGTTTTTAGTTGAGATGAAAAAAAGTTAATGGCTTGAAAAATGGCAAAAAGGAGGGAAAACTCATAAAGTGGGGTTGAGATAGGAAGTTGATGTCCGAGTGGATCGAGGTCACGATAGCTCAAGTGGTAGAGCAGCGACGTATCTAGCCGAAGATCTTGGGTTCGAATCCCGCTCGTGCCATTAACTTTTTTTCATCTCAACTAAAAACCTTAATTAATTGTTATTGTTAAATAAGATGACCATTTGGTGATTGCAATCTGTATATGAACCCTTGTCAGTGAAATTACGTTTTGGTTAATGTAAATTTATCTGACGGTAGGCTTAATTTAATCCTCTTTTGATGAACCCTAGGCGCTTAGGCTGATGGAAGATTGCCAATTCATTGATGAACCTTCATCGTTTTATAGGGTATTGATAGACCCAATTAACTTTAAATATTTGTTGATGAATGTTTGATTATTACTTCAAGATGACCTTTTTAATATAATTCTCTATTGATGAACAATTTTTGTTGGTACTGGTGAAGACTACCCTAGGTCAGTTTAATCATATGTTGATAAACTACTGTTGGTTAAATCATCATTGATGAAAGATAGTTATCTGTTGATAAATTCATTGATGAACCATTCCTAGTTTAATCATCTGTTGATTACTCCATTGATGAACTTTTCTTAGATTGATCATATGTTGATTAATCCATTGATAATCCTTTCTTAGATTAATCATATGTTGATTAATATATTGTTGAACCCTTGTTAATTAGATGACCTGTTGATTGATATATTGATGAACGCTTGTTAATTAGATGACCTGTTGATTGATATATTGATGAACCCTTGTTATTTAGAGATCGGTTGATTGATATATTGATGAACCCTTGTTAATTAGATGACCTGTTGATTGATATATTGATGAAACCTTGTTAATTAGAGATCGGTTGATTAATATATTGATGAACGCTTGTTATGTAGATCATCAGTTGATTAATTTATTGATTTAACAATTTGTAGTTGAACACATCACATTAATCATATATTGATGAACAATTCTCATATGAATCATTGTTACCAATCCTTCTTAATTCATGTGTTGAATAATCCGTTGGTGAATCCTTGTTAGTTTGATCCTCTAATTTATGAGGATCTCTCTATTGATGTACCTTTGTTATTTTAGTAATTTATTGATGACCCCATGTCAGTTTAATCATGTATGGATGAATGTTTATCACCTGAATCATACGTGATTAACCAATTGATGAATCCTTGTCAGTTCTTTTATTGATGAACCCTGGCTAGTTTAATCATCTGTCAGTAAATCAGTGCCAGTCTCATCATGTTTGGACATTATATTCTATGTGGTCAATTTAATTCTGTATTTAGTGGCCTACAGTTCATCTGATTATCTGCCGATATACCCTTGTGACATTTATCATTTGGTGATGAATTATTGTTTATCAGTTGAAGGTGGAATCTTTTCCCTAGAATCTTTTGTTAGATTGTCTGATGATCAGTTGTCATTCTTAAAATCTGTAGATTATGTCCCGCCGGTTGAATTATCATGGGATAAATCGTTTATTGTTTAGTCATCAGGACTTTTGGTGAACTCTGAAGGCTGCTGTTGTTCTTTTGAACATTTGAATTTTTTTAAAATAACTTTTTCAATTTTTTAAGCTGTGCCAAGGTTCGAGCTAGAGATGTAAGAGTAAGAAGATAAAATTTCTGTAGGTGCATGTAAAAAATGGATTTAATTGCCTAATTTGAAGTACTAGGTGTAAATGACCTTGTGTCGTGAAGTTTTTTTTAAAAATTTGCATATGTTATTTTTCGTTATGTACTGCCATTTACTGGCCACAATTTAAATGAAGTGAGTTGGTGTAAGTTTGGAATACACACAAAAAACACAAAATCGGGCAGAAGAATTAGGTTCTTTTGGCTGTGAAAGAGTATATTTCAGTTCCTTGTTTATTATTAAATTAGATCCTATTGAGCCACTTAGAGTTCATTGATTCCAAGCGATCAGGCAGGTCGTGAAACTGAAATTTGGATAATTACGCAGACCCGGTATCGACTCATTTGCTAAATGATTCCTTCCCACTGATATCACGATAAAAACAGCCGTTTAGGTCGAATAAAAAAATTGCAAAAATCCCCCGAGGGCCTTTATAAAGAGAACAAGCGGTACAAGTCATGTGTCTACACCTACAAGTCCGCCTGACAGTCGAAGAGGCGTCTGCCTGGGATTTTGTAATTTCATATTAATTATACAAAAAGAGGAATTCTTTCTACACGGGGGGAGGGGGAGCTTTTTATACTTTTTACAAGGTGGAAACGAGTTTCTTTCCGTGACTTGTGCATTTTGCTGCTATTTGCCAGCTCCGGCGAAACATAGCTGGGATATTTCCCCCGTCTTCTTCTTGAGGGAAGATCGTTCATAAGAAAGTTGATTTACTCCTTTTCTTAAAATACATTTATTGTATTGTTTTTAATTTCCAACATCAAAAAACTGTTTTTAACTTAAGTTCTAATCGCATAACCGACTGCTGCAAAGAACTCAAATTTGAACTGTTCTTTTGCCTGCCGATTATTTAAAGAGATATAATCCTTCAGGGATGAGAGTAGCGGGGCAGATATTTTCTAGTGGGCTGCAGGCGGACTTTAAATTTGGTTTGGATAATTGAAAATCCGCGCTGAACTTTTTCTTTATAATTTACTGTATATTATATGACATACATTACAGTTTGTATCGTCCAAAATCCATTGCCCTTTTGCCATTACCATATAAAACATCCTTCAACCACAAGAAGAAAATTGGTTTTCTGATTTTTTGATTATAGATTATATTTAAAAATGCCCAAATGACTAATCTAAGAGGTTAGTCAGTATAAACCCATTTATTTTGAACCATCATGTTCTAATTGTAAAAAAATCCTTAATTTTTAGCATTTATAGGTTGTTTAGTTTATGAGGTTTTTTTGTTTTCAATGGCGCATTATTGGCCTGTTAAAAGTCGTATAACGTTTAATTTTGAAATGACGGGTTGTATACCGCACCTCGGCGTTTGTATTCCTTTTTGACCATACCGCATAATAACAGGGTAGACAGGTTTAAACGGTAATTTAATTGTATTTTATAACAGATCGCATCAAGAACCTCCTTGGACGAATCTGTGGCATGTACTACACGATGGTCCTTGAGAAAATGATACCCTAAGAGCATTCAAAAAAGATTTCCAGCATGGGTTTCAAAATAGAGAAATGAAAATAATTAGAATGAGACTGGGCAAACGAGTTTGTTTCAAAGATAATTTCAGTTGTTGCTTTTGTGTGTGTTTTTTTAAATTTTATGTAACTTTATTAGGGCATTGTCTAGCACGACGAGATTAAATAATTATTACAATTGAATCATGTAATGAAATTTACATAAATATATTTTATTGGCTTAATTGGTTAACCAAAATTAACTAGAAAACTGCAAATACATTAATTTTATGGAGTTTATGGTAAACTAGATACCTCTAGTTTTCCTTGTATTTTTGTCATCAAAATATAAATTCTGCAACTTTTTCGTCTAACTTTCTGTAGATGAAATTCCCCCGACATTTCTCGCTGGAGGTTTATGCGTGCCAGGAGCTTTCAAAAAGGAGGACAACATTATGTTATAACTAGGGCTGTGATTTATATGCAATAAAAACAGACAAATATGCACATATATATGTATATATATTTGGTAAAAACTGCAATTTAATACTGAAAATATGCGAAAACTGCCATGAGAAAAAATAAGGAAACATTAAATTAAAGCACATAATTGGAAAGAGAAACAGTGGCAAGAGGAACATCACATTGCTAATATTAAAAAAGAAAAACGCATTAAAAAAAGTTAAATTTAAAAAATCCTTCGTCTCAGCCATCGAGACCCAGATCGGTCCATTTTCGATGAAGTCTCTGATTTTATGGGGTGTTTCATTGTATATAAGATCCAGGTGAGATTTACTGAGGGTACTTTCGTGGGGAACGGTTTTCCGTGTGTATTTCTCAAAAAAACCTTGCATTCAGGGTGGCTTAGTTTATGGACGGGTATGTCAGCTCTAACTAAAGAACGACATAAATCGGTGTCGAAACCGGACTTTTCGGTCAGCTCTTGTGGCTGCTTGTGTCACAAAGGTTTGTTGAAACTTAGACTTCCTACCTTTGTTTTCCTTGTTTTTTTGCTGTCTTTATGTGCTGTCCTACTAAAAAACGTGTAGCTGTTGATACAGGTTTATCACAACAAACACAGTATAAAACATCTGCATAGTCCTTTAAAAGTTTCACTTGAAAACTCACTCATATTCTTTTGAACAAGATCTTTCGTCTTTGCTGTGATTTTCGGCATTTTAGGAG